TCTTGTCTACACAATATGGAGCAGGGATGGCGTCTGACCGGACCGAGGGGACAGCTACCGAGGTGACCGCTGTCCCCTCGGTCCTTGCGAAATCAGAGTAGCGTGCTTACTTTTGTTAGAGCAGGCACGTTTGTCCGGGCTTGACCTCTCCCCATTCCTCCTAGGGATCGTGATGGTGGGGAGGTCGTGAGTCCCTTGCGAGTCATGTGGCTATGTCTGATGGAGGGAGAGGTCGTGGCTGAGCCTGGCCTTGGTGGACGGTCTGGTTTGCTTGGCTCAGCTAGGCCTCAGTCGTTCGGGCTTTTGCTAGCTGATATATTGTGGGCCGCATGGCCCGCTAACTAATCGGTGCCCTGAAACACACCGGGTTATGACCCCGACACATGTGTTGTTCTATTATATTTTTTGTGATATTCTATGGTGTATTTAGGGATGTTCACTTAGTATACATGTGATGTTCTATAGTATATTTTTAGGACGTTTGAAAAGTACCCATTTGATATTCTTTTAAATTTTTATCTATTATTTTTTCCATATGCTTTGCTCTAGAATTCATTATTTTTTATTTATGTTATGTATTTATTTTATTTTATTTATATATATATATATATATTATAATACCAACTTTATGAATCTAAACTGAGAATATTCTTCTTACAAAGACGGAACATTGTTCTTTGAACCTAAAACATCGTCTTTGCTCAATAATAGAAAATATTATATCTTCATAAGACAAATGTTCGTTAAAAAAATTTATCTAAATATATCGATGTGGAATCTTGTTTTGGAGGATTTATTGCAAGAAATTCGATGGTGTAATCAGAATTTAATTTGGATGTTTGTTTAGCAGTTATGACTTTTTTAGTTTATAAAGGTGTATGATGTCACTGTACGTAAATCAAGTGGATATAAAAAATCACTGGCACTGTATGCATGCTGTGGGCTTGTCCGTCACGAGTGCGGGCCATCTGGCCTCATGCTGGTGGGCGGGAACCTGCAAGGGCGGGAAAATATATTCGGCGTGGGGTACCGGCCAGCCGCACGGACCGTAGCATGCCCCGCCGGCGACGGGGCAGCCAGGGACTTTCTTGTCTCTAGGCCGCGGCCCGCACTACTAAAAACGATTTTAATTTTTTTATGGATGATTGAATAAAGTGACTACTAAAAACTATTTTAATATTTTATGGATGATTGAATAAAGTGATGGTGTCATTGTGTGAGCTATTAACTGGTTACTTTAGTTCTTGTTGTAAGTTGTGTTATTTAACGAAGGACCGAACTACAAATTTATGATGTATTGTGCTTGTAAGCTACTATATATTGTTCTAGTGAACTCTATGTAAGCGAGACTGACATATTTGTGGGTTGTTTAACTATAAATTTATTTATTTCATCTCACTTTGATTTATTATTTGATCTCCTTTGAATATACCCGATGGGTACCCGATACCCTCCGGGTACCCGTCGGGCGCGGGCATGCGTACAGAATCTTATCTGCGGGTATACTCGTGAGCGGGTAAAAGCTAGGGTCACGGTTTTGCTCGCGGGCAGGTAAATGCTTTACCTGCACCTTATCTGACCCGCTACCATCCCTAGGGCTGACCAACAGTTTTCAGTGGGAGATCAGGTCTTGCTTCGCTTACAAGTGGCAAATCGCCCATTTCCCAAACTAGCTTACAAGTTCTATGATCCTCATAAGATCTTGGAGAAGGTGGGCACCGTGGTATATCATTTGGAACTTCCTGCTGACAGTCTGATCCACCCAGTCTTCCACATTTCTCAAGTTAAAGCCATTTCACCCAGAGTACACTACAGTGTATTCTACACTTCCAATGCTAACTGATTTGCAAGCAACAGCAGTCGTACCAAATGAGATCCTGGAGCATCCGCTCATCAAAAAGGGGAACACTGCAATCCATCAGTTACTTGTTTACTGGACAGGTTTGTTGTCGACTTCTGCGACATGGGAAGACTACAACGTCGTCAAACACAGGTACCCTGATGCGCTTGCTTGGGGACAATCAGTGTCTTCGGCGGAGGGAGCTGTCACAACCCAACAGTGAAGGTGTAAAGAGGAGGAGGCGTTTTCCAAGGCAAAAGTCGTAGCGCTAGAGAATGTGTAATATTAAGTGTATGGTGTGTGGTCTTTTCGGGCATTTGGCCAGAGGACTTATATCCTAAACTATTGCTCGTAAGAATTATCGATATTGTGAATTGAGCGTAGCTCAGCTGGTTGGGTTCCTTGTAGTGGAACCTGTCCACCCGGGTTCAAGTCTCCGACTTGACATGGGTGCTCGTATTTTTCTAGATTTATTCCAGGATTTAACGGCGTTATTCTTTCAATGATAGGCGACGTGCCCGTCGACAGCAGGGTGCCTGTGGTGACTTCGTCGATCTTGAGATTTGCCGATCCAACTCGGTCATTCGGAGGTACTCATAGGGATAGGGTGTGCATTCGTGCGTTCATAGGGGTAAGTGTGCGCTCGTGTATATGAGCGTCTACATCTGTAACTAGCTCTTCGCAAAAAAGGAATTATTGACATTATTTTTATTAAGTAAATCGTGTGAGACAGAGGCAGTTCTCTGCTCCGTTGGCCGAATCTGGCGATCCTCTTTTCGTGCACACGTCAACGGTGTCCACTGATGGCTAAGGGTGTTATAGTCCAGCGTGTGCTCCACGTGGCACAACTAGTGAGTTCCCGACTGGAAGCGGAGAACCTGTTTGCGTGGTGGGGTGCCATAGTGCCAAGATGGTTAGACCAACTGTGCTGTTCGGCGAACCTCAACAACTACCTCCGAGATGACGTATCCTACGGATTCCACTGTTATGTGGCTGGATAGCTAGAAAGGAAATGAAACAGGTAAATAGCAGGATTTGGGGAAGAACAGCAAGAACGGAGTTGAGATTGGGGAGGTGAAAGCTCTAGTTTGGTTTTGGTGAATTGATGAAACCATAAGTGCTAACTGACGAGATCCTAACATATGGGTATGTTAAGCCTCAGGATCAATGGTTCTCGACCGAAGGGACCCCCTGACTGATCCCTCTAGGATCGCACAGGGGTTCGGGGGCTATACCCATCGGGTACGCTCGCGTGCACCCTCCGACGAAGAAACCTGACCGAGCCTGGGCACGGTGTAGCCCCTGCACAGGGCTCGGGGGCTCGCCCGCGCCTCAGGCTCTCAACCGACGACATGCTCGAGCCTTGGCTCCTGCCCGGCTTGCGATGCCAGCCAATGGCTCGGGCGCAAGAAGACAAGCCCTAGGCCATCGAGGCACGGGGGCTCCCAGACGCCATGCTCTAGGGCGTGGCCTTACCGGTCACTTCCGCGATAGGGTCTCGCACGGGGCGTGACACAAGAAAACAAGCTTTACACGCCCTCCAGGTGCTGGGTGGCTCCCGAGACTACGCGTCAGCCCCTGGAGCTGACCTTCTTCACCACCAAGAAGACTCTAGAAGGTCCACCTGGGGGAGGCTGGTCCAAGCCGACATAGCCTGACACGTAGAGTGTCAGAATATAGCAGTCAGACGACGCCCAAGGCTTCTTTGGCTCCACGACACTGTCACAATCCACAAAGCACCGCTGCAAGACCCTCCTGGACTCCAGCGCATATAGACTGTAGACTTATCTCCCCAAACAGCCATGTACCTGACCTATCTCGTTATATAAGGGATAAGGTCGGACCTAGGGGGAGGGAGGAGGATCAATCCAAGACAGATCATTCCATTCCATCCGCTCCTGCTCAGCACCAAGGGTAGGGCAACCCAGAGAGGGGCACCGAGAGCTCCTCCACAGTATCCCGTCATCTTCCTCCTCTCCAACGAGGGGAAGACTCCACCGGCGGTGAGGCAACCTTAGGATTAGCACCGAGCTAACACCCTACTAAATCTCTCTCTATACTCTGTTGTAACCCCCCAATTTAGGGTGCTTTCGAGTATAAGGATCATCAACTATTGGACGTAGGGCATTGATTGGCCTAAACCAGGATAAACCATTGCGTCCTCTATGTGATTCTTGTGTTCTTGAGTCCACCCGAGCCACCGAAGACCTGTACTTTGACACTGACCCGAACAACAGTGCTTGCCACAGTTCCGACCCCGTGACAGCTGGTGCACCGGGTAGGGGGCAGCGTCAAGTGCGATTTAGGCTCTACGGTGGCCGAAGTCACCCGCATCGTCGTCGAAGCAAGCAGCACCACCCCAGACGGCGGTGTCCACTTCCTCGACGAGTTCTCCGTCATGGGCGGCGCCTTTGCTCTAGGCCAGGTCCTCAACTTTGGGAGCCTGCACTACGTCGTCGACTGCTGCAGTGAGCCTCGTCCGCCCGATGGGGCTGCGTCGATGGGCGACGGGCACCCAGTGCCTCTCCCGAGGGACCTAGCGTGGCTTGGGATTGCCCCTCGCCACACCAAGCCGAAGACTGACCCTACAGGCCGGCCGATGGACCGCCCTTAGACCATGGCCGGGGGCGCAACATCATGTTTGGCATGCCCCCCGATGAGGGGGGACTGTGTAGAAAAGGGCTCATCCGGCATAAGAGTCGACACGCTGACTCCACGAACAGCTAAGTTCCCCGACCGCTAAGCATTTTTTCCATGTATTCCACACCTCTTGAATCACTGCTGGGGGAGAAGATGCGCTCGCCCCGCTCAAATCAACCCACTTTCGGGCCATGGACATCTTTGCCCCGATCTCGCGATCAAGGAGCAGAATCACCCTATTCCTTCCTCTCGTGACCACCAGACGGGATAGGCTAATGCCCTAATGCCACATGGGCACGACCTAGGCTAACGGAGCTAACAACTGACGACCACTGGGCTCATGAGGGGGAAAACGGGTGCTAGGGGCGCTCCCCACCGAGACGAACAAGGAACATAGTAAAAATGACAATGAAAGTGCAAGCATTTAGCAGGTAGGCGTGCCCTCGGTGTCACATTATTCTGAAGGGGACAAAGCCCTAGAGTTAAAGCAACATGTTTTACAATTGAATCCTTGTGTAGGTCATGGGGACGCCGGAGGACCGACGGCCACATCGTCCTCGTCTGGGTACTCATCGGTCAGAAGCAGCCTGTCGTTGATGATGCCTACTGCTGCAGCAACTAGGGGCGCCACCGCGTCCTCGGCTTCCTCCAATGCCTTGTCAGAGGTCTCTTTTGGGACACCCAGGGCCATGGCGCCCAAGTCAACCTCTGGGAGCTAAAGCCTCACCAAAGTCAGGGTGTTGGCGGCCCCTTGGCAGACCGCGCCCCTAACGACTCATGGGACGCATACCGCGAGGGAGCGTACCCACCCAACGAGGTCGTGCTCCTCCTCCAGGAGTAGCGGAGGGAGCAAGGCATCGCACATCTCATATGCTCCAACAGCGAGTCCCTGCAGCTCCACTTGCACCACGTCCAGCTCCTGTCTACGCTCCACCAGGGTGGTCTAGCCATGCTCTGACACCTTCGCCTCCGCTTGCAACTCCTTCCATAGGTGATTGCACTCCACACACATCTTCTTTGTCTCCCCCTCTAGCCCTGTGCCATGCACATGAGAGTTCATGGTGACTTGGGGCAAGGGACCCCACCTCGGAGGCAAGGGAAAGAAGGAAGAGAAGAGGACGTACCCGCGACGAGCTGCTAGGGGCCATGGAGCTCGTAATGGGAAGCATCCCTCGTGGTCTTCAGCCAGCCTAGGGAAGCCCTCAACTCCATGACAGCGCCTTCGGGCATCCGATGCGACTCCTCTATCTCTACTGCTTTCAGCCGAATCGCCTTGGCCCTCGCCTCCATGGCGCACTTGGCCTCTTGTTCCACCGCCAGCTCAGACTCTAGTCGTGCCATAGCGCTACGTGCCTCATCACGCTCCTTGACAAGCACCTCCATCAGCGCCTCCACCTGGGCGTGGGGCGGAGGATGAGGATGGGGCAACTGGGTGGGCAAGGACCCCTTGTCCCCTCTAGAGGGGTCGAAGAACACTTGCGGAGCGGCCATCTCCTACTCCCGGACGAGATATGACTTCCTCTAGGAGAACTAGAGCAACGCCTGCAACCACAACAAGAAAGCTCATGCAAATCCTCGACACCATCTACGACGCCACGCTCGTTCGACCGATCCTTACTGCGCAGGAGTTGTATATCCCTGCTGAAGACTGAAGAACTCCCCTGCGTGGCCCGTCATCTTCGTGAAGGAGCCATAGAAGAAAGCGACCAGCTCATCTAAGGCACCATGCCACTTCATCAACTCCAGCCCCACGTCCACCTTAGGGCCATCGTTCAGCACGAGCGGCCCCCTGGCCGGCGACGCGGGAGAAGCCAGCGGCACCACCGATGAGGAACCGGCATCCTCGCGTTGCGAAGATGGGAGGAGGTCAGAGGCGAAGGCCTCTGGACGATCCCCCTCTTCCTGGGATGAAGGTCCCCTGCGGGAGGGTCTGCCCCTGTGACACCAGGCCCCGTCGGATGCGTCGAGGCCTCGGTAACCGACCCCTCAGTGGTCGTGTCCCGCCTATGTGCCTCACCCACACGAGGTGCCATCAGCAGGTGGTGGTGCATCTTTAGCACCAGCGGCCGAAGCGGCACCGCCGCGCTGCTAGAAGCCCCCACCGAAGAAGACTCCCTATAGTCCACATCAGCACCGTTAAGCAATGAACATGAGGTCTTCGAACGGTGACAACTCGATCGATGAAGATTCTCACCTGTCGCTTGTGGGAAGCCTCATGGCAAAGCACCTCTTTCGTGAAGGCACCCCTACCCTAAGGGAGCTCAAATAGGGGCGCTTCCCTATAGCTAGAGCGGGGGGCGAGTCCCCCAAGGACAGGTTAGGGGATGAGCCTCCTGACTGCAGAGAAGAGCCCCCGGGGTGACCTTGGCCCCTAGTCCCCCAAGGCTAGGGGGAATGGAGACTGCCCCGAGGTATGGGAGGTCATCGGCCCTTGGCTCAAACACCGAGAATAGGGGTGACCCGGCGTCGACTGCCGATTCCCCCGATGCGGAGCCAAGCACCATCCACGCCACCCAAGTCACGGACTCCTCCAGGAGGTGGCCATCCACCACCACAGACTGATCCCTGGGCCTATATACTCCCACATCTAGGCTGGCCTCACCTTCAGTGGGAAGATCCGGTGGAACAAAAACACCAGGAGCACCGTCTGACCGGTCAGTCCGTCGTCCTTCAGGATGGTGATCTAGCTCAGTAGCCCCTCGACGACCTCGAGGGTAGGCCCCTCTGGCATGCTCTTCCAAGACAGCAGCGTCACTAGCCCTAGACGGTCGGGGGAGTAGGCCAAAAGAGATCCGGACTGGTCGAAGAGATAGAACCATTTCTGGTGCCACCCCTTCTCCGAGGTGGGAAAGGAAAGCTCTAGGTACCACAACTTCAGATTGTTGTGCAGCTAGATGGCGGCGGTGCCGATCCACTACATAGATCTGTCACCATCCTTGTTCAAGTTCAACCAGAAGATCCTTCGCCAGAAATTGAACTGATGCTCAATCCCCATATAACACTTGCAGAGGGTGACGAACACCGCGAGGTGTGCCACCCCATGCGGTGTCAGATCGTGAAGACGTAGCCCAAAGTAGCAGAGGAACCTCCCCATGAAGAGATGCACGGGCACCCCAAACCCAACGAGGTGGAAAGGGACAAAGGAGACGACCTGCGACTCCCCCGGCGTAGGCTCAGACGGCTCCAGATCCGGCAAGTCCCATCTAGAGGAGGAAAGGATCATCCATGCCCGAGCCACCTCCAACATCTCGCCTTTGGCCCTCGAAGTGTCCCACTCCGCCATGGTAGATCAACCAGGGGTAGGTGCAAGCAAGCTCGGCAACACTCGGGTGCAAGGGCGACGGGGGAAGCAGAAATGAAAGGTGCGACCTCTTCTCCCTATCCAGCCCTTTTCTATAACTCGAGCACGGTGGAGTGAACACGAGCCCTAGCCCGAGCGCGCCACCCACTCTGCGCACACCACCTCATGAGACTTGAGGGGATCTGACTCCCCTCGGGCCCACTAGTTGCCATCAACGGCCCGGATTCACACACACCAAGTGTCGTGGTTCCTCCTCTTCTAGATCTACTCCACATGGCAGGAGCACACACCTTAACTCCTCCGTCAGGCATGATGGCCCAGACACCATCAAACCGCCAGCATAGAGTGTCAGCAAATGTGATGTGCCTAGAAGTTGCCATGACCGCTGACAAGGAGTACCCACGATGGCCTCGGGGGCTACGTCGGCTCTACAAACGGAGCAACTCGACCCCCTCGATCGATGGGCGCTTGGGCGACACACCCCCAAAACCAACCAACTCCCCAGAGTTGGGTCGGGAGCCACTGAGTGATGGACCCAATAGGGTTCCCCACCCAAGCTCGGCGCGCTCCCCGTGCCCCGACTTATGGCTGCAGAAGGTTGGCCCCAAAAGGCTATCCTGAGAGGATCGTAGCCTGCTATCGAAGCCCCCAGAAGTGTGTGGTGCGCCGGGTGATCAGGTGGCCCCGAGCCAGAGCCTAGACGCTCTTGATCACCCAACCCATGGCAGGTCCTAACCAAAAGGGAGGGTGCCCCCGGGCCTAAAGTCGGTAACTCCCAGACGAGTTCACTGAACCCTCACTCGGGTCATAGACCTATGCGACATAGGAGCAGGGAAGGGGTCAGCACTAGTACCACTTTGCCCTGATAGCCAAGCACCCCTATCACACCAAGGGAAATGGCCCCACGCAGGGCAACACACTCCTATCAGCAAAAACTATCTCCGCCATGGCTAGTTTGGTCACCAAAAGATCAAATTCAGCCCTTCATCGCCATCAGGAATCAGGCCAAGTGAGGCCACAAAGGGCTCGGGGGCTCCTAATGAGATCCTACCATATGGGTATGTTAAGTCTCGGGATCAATGGTTCCCTACCGAAGGGATGCCCTGACCAACCCCTCTAGGATTGCCTAGGGGCTTGGGGGCTATACCCATCGGGTACGCTCGTGCACACCCTCTGATGAAGAAATCTAACCGAGCCTGGGCACGGCACAGCCCCCGCACAGGGCTCGGGGCTCGCCCATGCCTCAGGCTCCCGACCGACGACACACTTGAGCTCGGGCCTTGGCTCCTGCCTGGCTTGCGATGCCAGCCAAGGCCTAGGCGTAAGGAGACAAGCCCTAGGCCATCAAGGCTCAGGGGCTCCTAGATGTCATGCTCTGGGGTGTGGCCTTGCCAGCCACTTCTGTGATAGGGTCACGCACGGGACGTGACACAAGAAGACAAGCTTTCCACGCCCTCCAGGGGTTGGGCGGCTCCCGGGCCTGCGCGTCAGCCCCTGGAGCCGACCTCCTTCGCCAGCAAGAAGACTCCAGAAGGTCCACCTGGGGGAGGCCACTCTAAGCCGACACAGCCTGACACAGAGAGTGTCAGAACAGAGCAGCCGGACGACACCCAAGGCTTCTTCGGCTCCATGACACTGCCATAGTCCACAGAGCGCCGCTGCAAGACCCACCTGGACTCCAGCGCATGTAGACCATAGACTCATCTCCCCAAACCATCATGTACCAGTCCTATCTTGTTATATAAGGCATAAGGTCAGACCTAGGGGGAGGGAGGAGGATCAATCCAAGATAAATCATTCCATTCCATCCGCTCCTGCTCAGCACCGAGGGCAGGGCAACCTAGAGAGGGGCACCGAGAGCTCCTCCGCGCATCCCGTTGTCTTCCTCATCTCCGACGAGGGGAAGACTCCACCGACGGTGAGGCAACCTTAGGATTAGCACCGAGCTAACCCCCTACCAAATCTCTCTCTAGACTCTGTTGTAACCCCTCAATTTTGGGTGCTTTTGCGTATAAGAATCATCAGCTGCTAGATGTAGGGTGTTGATTGGCCCAAACCAGGATAAACCGTTACGTCCTCTCTATGATTCTTGTGTTCTTGAGTCCACCCGAGCCACCAGAGACCCGTACTCTGACATCGACTCGAACAACTATGCTTGTCGTGATTTTGACTCCGCGGCACTAACCCATTGCTCTAAGTGATCCTGAGATATGGTAGCACATTCCAAGTGGTGGAGCAAATGGTGAAGATCATGATGATGGTGATGGCCATGGTGATGATCAAGTGCTCAGGCTTGGAAAAGAAGAAAGAGAAAAACAAAAAGCTCAAGGCAAAGGTATATTTGATAGGAGCTCTTTGTTTCGGTGATCAAGACACCTAGTGGGTGTGAT